TACACAAGGGGAGGATACAGAGTGACACAGGGGAGTGCATGGAGGTACACAATGGGAGGATACAGAGTGACACAGGGGAGTGCATTGAGGTACACAAGCGGAGGATACGGAGTGACATAGGGTAACAGCTGCAATACAAAGCTGAGAAACGGAGCTACTGCTTCGACTCCCATAACTGAGGGAGAGTTGTCTGAATCCTCCTGGAATTCAAACCCACAACCTCTAGACTGCAAAGCCTGCATCCTTAACCACCACACTGCCTGCGACAGGCGCTACTGATTTAGCAAAGTAGAAGCTGGAACAGCACAGTAATCACTTTATAGATGGAGAACATGTCAGCGTTTTCCAATACGTGCCACCTACCACACTGAAGAGACCCAGGAAATCAGGTTCAGGTTCAGGGCACTTTATTTGTATCCATAGGTAGATTTGATTCACGTTACTTTAGCATGCAATTCCCCGACATGGCCACCTGGTGGCGACAACTGCTCTTCTTTGAGTTTTCTTTTGGGAGGGTGAGTGGGGGATGCACACAAAAAAGACTGAGCATCCCAGAGGAAAGAAAGACATTACACATTCTTCAGGAAGATAATCAGCTTGCCGCTGCAGATGTGGGGCTCGGTGCCTCAGCTTTGGCGCGCTTTCCCAGCCCGAGGTAGGGGCCAGCTCTGGGGCGCGGCCCCTATTCTCCTCCTGCCGGAATGAAGCGCTGTCCTGCTACTGGCTTTGATATGTTGGTCCCATTTTTCCATGCTATTTTGTTGTCAGTGGCTGCTTCAGAAACAGGGCGCAGGCACGGCGAAGCGTGTCTGTCAGGTGACACTCTTCTGAGGCTCTCCATCTGCGCTTCTCACTGGCTTCCTGACGTTTGTGCCATCTTCCCCCTACCTATGCTCAGGGTGTAAAGGGAAGCGGGCAGTGCTGGGCTTGGCCCCGGCCAGGGCTCAGGCACACCAGTCCTCCCCCAGCACCCCCGCATCCTGTCCCATGGCCCTTCTCTCCCCGCTCCCCCTCCGCCACATCTGCACGTACCACCTGCTCCGGACGGCCCCCACGAGCCCAAGCTCCCGCCCCCCTGCTCCCCATCTTATAATAAACACTGGCCGTTTTATCTGCCGCGTGTTTGGATGACAGAGTCTTCTGAGCGCTGCAGCTGGGGATTGGTGTGTGGGGGGGGGGGGGGCTCTGACCCATGTAGATGGACGCCTGGTCACCCGCCATCCACTCCACACTAGATCCCCATCCCACAGCCAGTGCCCACAGCAGGCGGAGGAGGACCCTTATGGGGCACTGGGGTCAGAAACAGGCTGGGGGGGGCACACTCCCCGACTTTGTTTATAGGAGCCGCATCTGCTGTGGACTTGTCTCACCAGGCTTGGGGGGGTAGGGGAGTGGAAATGAATCCGTACTTCTTCAGAAAGCGGTGAGGGGTGTTTAAAGTGTCGTCCCTCCCCCTGGTAGCTCCCTCCCAATAACAAACAGGATGCAGACCTGTCCTTGCTCCCATCAGGTCCACCAGGCACCCCCTGCTGGCCACCGACAGCTAAAATGTCCCTCTCATTGCTGTAGGTTTGCTCTGTAAGTCTTGGTCCTCAGCCTGATCTTCATACAGGTCCTCAGCCTGATCTTCATACAGGTCCTCAGCCTGATCTTCATACAGGTCCTCAGCCTGATCTTCAGTTTAGTCTTCAGCCTGGTCCTCTGTCCTTAAGTCTTCACATGCTGTCCTTTCTCACTCTGGTTCGGCTTGTCTGCTTGTTTCGCTCCTCCCCCCAATTTCCTGCATTTTTCAGCCATGGAGAAAATGCACAGGGAACCTGAAGAGACCATCAGAGGAGTGGAATCATTACAGATGCCTCTGACAAATTTACCAGACACTTTTGTCCAAAGTGAAGTAGCAGTGGGGAACGCTTGGGCTCTGACAGCATCCAGCCCCTCTGCAGCAGTTGGGTTGAGGGCCACAGGATTCAAACCCACAACCAAGCACTGGCACAGATCCCTGTCCTGACCCTGACCGCAGGATTGTAAATGAGAGCGGCTGGATCAGGAGCCACAGGATTGTAAATGAGAGCGGCTGGATCAGGAGCCACAGGATTGTAAATGAGAGCGGCTGGATCAGGAGCCACAGGATTGGAAATGAGAGCGGCTGGATCAGGAGTCTCAGGATTGGGATTGGCAGTTTTGAGATCAGGAGCTTTGGGATTGGGGGCAGTGGGATTGGGAGCTGTGGGATTGGAAGCTTTGGGATTGGGAGCCGTGGGATTGGGGTCTTTGGAATTGGGGGCAGTGGGATCGGGGGCTTTGGGATTGGGATCTTTGGGATTGGGGGCTGTGGGATTGGGATCTTTGGGATTGGGGGCTGTGGGATCGGGGGCTTTGGGATTAGGGGCCGTGGGATTGGGATCTTTGGGATTGGGGGTCGTGGGATTGGGAGCTTTGGGATTGGGAGCTGTGGGATTGGGATCTTTGGGATTGGGAGCTTTGGGATTGGGGAGCTTTGAGATTGTGGGCTGTGGGATTTTTGGTATTGGGGAACTTTGGGATTGGGGAGCTTTGAGATTGTGGGCTGTGGGATGTTTGGGATTGGGGAGTTTTGGGATTGGGGAGTTTTGGGATTGGGGAGCTTTGAGATTGTGGGATGTGGGACGTTTGGGATTGGGGAGTTTTGGGATTGGGGAGCTTTGAGATTGTGGGATGTGGGACGTTTGGGATTGGGGAACTTTGGGATTGGGAGCTTTGGGATTGGGGAGCTTTGGGATTGGGGAGCTTTGGGATCTGGAGCTGCACAGGGACATTTGGAAAGCTCCCCATGACTCCTGTGGTAAAAATACCTCCACCTCAAATCCAGGCGATTACAGAGGCGGGTCTGAGAAAGGAGCACATTAGCCATGACTCTCATAACAAGAAGCAGAATGCCCACATGAGCAGTATTCCCTAATTTCAGAATATCGCCATTAATCATTCCAAGGGCTTATGCTCGGAATAACAGCAGACTTCATCGGTGTGCAATGCGGCCATTCGTTTCAGCAGACCCAAGCGGGACATGTAACGGGCCCTCGCTGGGGCTGGCCTGCCCAGTGAGATTGCCTGCGTGTAAATATGACCTTGTCTTTCCTTCTGTTTACCCACGATGCTTCACTTCCCAGGCTTTTAAATGCACGTATGCCTGAGCCTTTGCAGAATTTAAATGGCTAACTGACTAAATGACTATGAAACACTCATAAGAAAATAATGTAATAAATACAAACAGATCTGGAGTGTAAACTATTTCGATATTAGAGAGATATACATCTGGCTAATTCTGTCCTTCCTGGCCAGTCAGTTGGGCTCCTGTAAGGCATATGAACAATAAACAAATGTTTATGAGTTTAACGCATGGCTGTCAGAGGATAATGAATCTGGAATGGGTCTGATCCAGTTTACTGCTGATTTATTTCAGAAAGTCAGACTTAAAACAGTCTATGGAGGGGTGGGAACGGTGACACTGAGTTTGAGCGGCTGGAAGAGAAATGAAACTGGTCTCTAATCTTCTATGAATGAAAATGTACCATGATCACCCTGGGCGAGAGCCATTGTACCACAGTACCCTGTGAAATGGTTTTATTTTTCCAAATTCGAGAGTAATTTTTTACAGTTGCAGCTCTGAAAATGTAGCCAATTAGTCACAGTTTCTTGGTATGTCGTTTTGGATGAGCGGTGAGCAGGAAATATCCCTTAGCTGCATGTGAAATGAATATGGACGTGTTATTAAGCGATAGCTATCTGTTTCTCATTCTTCATTTGCCACCCGTGAATTATCTGCCTCAATCTCACTTTCTGCATTTCCTACGCCGTCCCCAGCCAGTCAGAGTGGAACGCCAGCAGCCATCCCCAGGCTGTTAGCGGCTCCCGCGGAGCCACCCTGTTACGCTGGGAAGGACAGGCAGCAAATACGTTTGTTTTTGCTCAAGTGTGATCTGATACCCTTGCTCGGACCGGAGGGGAGATTTGACTATGGCGGGTCCCAGAAACGCGGTGTAGGAAAGTTTTCTGGCTCTGATCTTCAGGTGTGCCTCATCAGGTGTGGTGCCTGTCTTTCTGGAAAATACCCGGGGGGGGGGGGGGCATCCTTCTTCTCAGGGAAGTGTGGAGGAAGCGGGAGGGCGACTGGACCCCTCTGGTGCCCACTGCAGACGCAGAGAGTAAACGGTCCTGGAGGAAACACAAAAAGGCAGCTACTATGTTCAAGAACGCAACTCGCACTTGGCTGTAAATAACAAAACATTAAATCATTTAATATTTAACATAATGTGCTTTGGAAAATTTGGAAATTGGAAGGTCTGCTAATGACACCTCTGCTGCTTAACGGGCCGTGCGTTTCACTCGGGATTCGGAGCCCGTCTTTCTGCTCACGGCTCAGGATAGCCGGGAATCTTACACTCACTCTACTGGTGCTTCTGGTTCTGCTATGTACAAAACCATATGAGAGATCATCAGAGAGTGATACACAGAGAGTGATACAGGCTCAAAACAGTCAAACGGCTTGCAGAGTCTATCTTCCTGGCATAAAAGCATCACTTAAGGAGATGGATTTGCTCATATCCTGTCTTCCAGTGGCATTTTTCCTACTCCAAACCTCTGGACTAATAATATTTATTTGTGGAGCTGGCAGGCTGATCCCGAATCAGATTACATTTTCCTTCAGCACAGCTGGGTATTCCATAAGCCTGCTCAGGTTAAGGATTCAGCTCAAGGTTGCAACCGCTGGCCTCAAATCTGAAGTCTTCCGGAGAGTCCCAGAAGAAGGCGCTAACGCCAGCCCCCCCCACCCCCCAGTGGTGGACTGCTAAGCAGAGGCGCTCCTATTTTAACTGCTCAACTCATAAAATGCTTTGGATGGGAACAACAGCTTCGGAGTGAAAAACCTTCACCATCTCGGTGAGACATGATTTAAAGACATGGGAGGGATGACCCGCCCCCCCCCCCAAACCTGACCTGAGACGCTTTCGGCTGATGACCGCACCTGTGCCATCCTGCAGAGCATGCGATGTTTGGTAGTTTTGCCAGGAAATAGTCTCAGCTATGGCTCCATCTATGTGGAGTTTGCATGTCCTCCCCATGTCACCATGAGGTTTCCTCTGGGTACTCTGGTACCCCTCCCCCCCCCCCACAGGCATAAAATATGCTGAGGTTATTTGGAGTAATTGCCCCTAGGTGTGCCTGTGTGAGACTGTGCCCTGTGATGGGCTGGCACCCCATCCCTGCTTGTGCCCTGCCTTACAGCTGTGGCCTCTGAGATAGGCTCTGGACCCCTCACAACCTTGAATAGCACAAGCAGTTACAGAAAATGGATGGATGGATTCCTTCATGTCCATCTTGTATTCATCAAAACCAAACTCGACTGAATGCGAAACCACCGACTCTATACATACACGTATGTACACACAAAAACACATTTTTCAGAGGCAACAAAACAGTCAGATTTTCCAGTTTTTCTGGGGAAGCCCAGCTTTGATCTATCGCAGATGTTCCCTGGACCACTTCAAGCAACAGACACTTACTGAATGTACCCCAAAGTTCCTGCTCCTCCCGGCCCCTCATGCTCCAGTCCTCATGCGGCTCGCTGGGACTCTCCGCCAATCGAACACTGCTAAGCCAGCCAGCATCCTTTCAGCCAGCCTATCAGCCGCACCCGAGGTTCAGCGTTGCTATACAACCTCAATCGCTCACTTAATACGGAGAAAAGATCAGCCGCAATGCGAGAGGGGTTCGGATAAATACCTGGGCAGGATTTCCAGCACTGGAAACTCCTTGAAACACATTTTGACTTTTATGACAGCAGACCAACGCAGATACACTAAATTCTGTTGGTTCTGGTTATTAGCTGATCTTACGGTCCAGATCAAACCAGACCTTGTCACAAGCTGGCTCCAAAGAACGTGTTATGGTTCTGAACGTTTACATTTCAGACACGGGGGTTTGACAAAATGACAAAATGCCGGCGAAATGCGGTGAGCTTGTGTTTCACATGCCGGAGGACCAACCCAGAGCCGCCCCCGTGTCGCCTGGACCATCTCTGTGGAGCGTGTTCGCGGAGCACCTGGCCCAAGCACATGCCAAACACACATAACTGCATGTGTCACTGGCGGCCCTGTATTGAAAAAATTGCTTTTGTTTTGCAATCTTTACCGGGTCAGAGAAAGAAAACACAACACAAATCAGAAATTCCTCACCCAGTGTTAATGATGATGAGGATTAGCATGATCCAGTGTCGGGGGTCCAGTGTCGGGTTAGGCTTAATGTTGTAATACTCGAGACCGGTCTTGGTCTCGTCTCGGAATCGACTTTATTTTGACCCAGACTTGTCTCAGTCTCAGACGTAGAGGACTTGAGGTTTTATTTCAAGACCAGTCAAGACCACTCATCAAAACACTTCAGCATTTATCACAACGGCTTAATATTCATGTTTGTTAACTCTTAGAACCCGACAACTAATCTCAGGCTTGTATCTTTGGATAGGTATAACGCACAGATATGAATCACATCTTTGCAACTCAATCCGGTCGTTGCAGCATTTTGTGCTAAAATAATCCTAGAGTAATCCTGTGCACAATGAGGCATATATTTTAAACATTTTCCATGAAAAAAGCACCCTAATAATCCACAAAACATGGATAATCATATTAGACGGAAAACAAAAGCGCATATTGTCTTCCGCAATGATCCACGCAATACCCTTCTGGGGGAAAAAAATAAAGGGATGAAAGAGACTCAAAAATGGCTGGAGTTCTATTAGAAATAACAACAAAATGCAGCATTCTATTTATTAGGAAGAAAATTACTTGATATTTTTGCAAGAGTTATTCACAAAAGTTTGTATATGTATGCTTTAGAATGCACCCATTGTGTAATTGGAACCCCCTCTACATGTAAACCCAATGACATGCTGCAGCATTGGTTTGTTATTTGAGGCTAAAATGCCGACTAAAAGTTTCATTCTCAAATTTCACTTTACTAATCATAGTGTACTAGGCGAAAAAAACAACAGCGATAAATATTCAGCATTAGAAAGTCAGTAAATGTCTGTGCTTACCCAGTGGATCATAAACTAAACAATACTTTTCTATTTCAATTTCTTTCAGGTGTCATAAAGTAATAAATAAAAGATATAAAAATATAAAACCATGTATTGCTGGCTGTCAGATATCAACAAGTTACCAAATGGATGCAAAATCAAAGATATTCATTTCCGTCTGTCATTAACCATGTATTCCTTTACAATGCTGAGCCATTAAAGGTCCCCAATGAATCCCCAGCATTCCTACATCACAGTCACTCTCATCTCAACATTTATAAGATTATATTTGTAGTGCCCGCAAATTTTTATATTAGATGCGATAAAAAAACTGAGAAATTTCAATAGGTCCAAGCAGTTTTTGATGATATCAAGACTGTCAGCATTTGCACATCAAATTATGACATATCTGAGTAGCCCAGAATGTCCTGAAAACAAACCCATGAAGCATATGTGGCTCATGTACATACAATGTAATAAGCCTAAAATCAAAGGGACAGAAAAATGCTCAAAAAATGGACAGGGTTCAAAGGGTTAACACAGTTCTGTGATCGGGTGTAAAACGTCCTGCTTCAAAGTTCAAATGCAATCAATACAACGCATCTTAATCGAAAATTTATAAAAAGGTTACATTTGAGCATAAGCATTTATATAGAAATTTTAAGAAATAACATCCATGATTCAAATTATACTGTGACACAAATTTTAGGCCATACTGCCCAGCCCCAAGATGGTGCCTATGCTCCACATTTTATAGTGCGTTGTGTTATGTAGACTCAAACATTAGTTTGTTTCTGATCTTGATCTGGTCTAGCCCTGCCTTGGTATTTGTCTTGTCTATGTCTCACCCTGCCTTGGTCTTTGTCTTGTCTATGTCTCACCCTGCCTTGGTCTTTGTCTTGTCTCGGTCTCAATACACTCTGGTCTTGGTAATGTCTTGGTCTCGGTTTAGGTGGTCTTGACTACATCACTAGTTAGGGGGTCTGGAAGGGACACAGAGGGCAGCACTGAGTCTCGTATCTGCTTCTAACAAAGAGAGAACATCCTGGACCATACAATGAAAGGGGGGAATTCTGAGGTGGGGGGTTGTGTGCTTAAATGTGGGACAAACTTGGGTTGGGAGGTGTGATGAATGTGATTTCCAAACACGGTCGCTGATTAGATAATCCTCATGCTGAAAAAAAAAAATCAGTGAAACAAATTCTTTCTGGAAGGCCACCGATTTGTCCTGGTGAGGTGCGTGTTGGGGGGGGTGTAGCCAACCGCCAGCAGTGGCTGATCGCCATCCTTTACGTGTAATCATTCTCGCTCTAATCGCCCTTCGAGGGAAATGAGTGACTCACAATGACAAATGACGAAAGCAATCAGGTTTATGTACTCGCCGCGTCCCTTCCAGTAAATCTCACTCAGGAACTAATGAGCAGGACAGGCAGACGGTTTCTATAATCTGCGGCTTTCCTAGAAGTCTTGGCAAGGCAGAAGCGGCAAGGCTTTCTGTGGTGAGCCCAGATGATTGCAAAAGAGAAACTGCTGTGTCTCAGCTGCACCCGTTTGCTCCCGATCCCCAATGCCGGTGTGAAAGGTAGCGGGAGAGCGGAGGATGATGGGAGATGATTAGTGGAACAGGCCCACAAAGCGGGTTGAAGTGGCCAGAGAGCTGCTGAGGTCTCCATCCTATAGATGTGTCAGTTGCCAGAGGAACCCCAGAGGATCATTAGAGAAACATCAGAGGAATATCAGAGGACCAGACCTATGACTCAGCCTCATGTCCTAAAGGATTCGGCTCAGCTGGGAGTGGACGGAGGAAGACGGGATCCTCCTGAAAGGTCGCCTGCATAAATTCCATGGCCGTGCATTTGAGAGGTGCTGGAAAGAGCAGGGGTTTGATGGGGCCTGTGCAACGTTACCGAAAATCCAGAGTGAAGTGAAACGCTGTGTTCATCATGTTACTGGCTCCAAGCGAAGCAAGAGTGGAAACACAGCACAAAAGATTTATTCGGGGTCGTCACCGTTCCGCAGATCATCAGAGGGTGAACCGTTCGCCACCTGGAGGGTCATGCTGTGGGTAATGTATGTATGGGCAGGCCGTGCTTAGGGGGCTATTTGTTGTTTTTTGGGCCCCCACTCAAAAAGTCAC